CAGAGCACCTGGAGGAACCGGAGCACCTGGAGGAAACCGGAGCACCTGGAGGAACCGGAGCACCTGGAGGAAACCGGAGCACCTGGAGGAACCGGAGCACCTGGAGGAAACCGGAGCACCTGGAGGAACCGGAGCACCTGGAGGAAACCGGAGCACCTGGCGGAAACCGGAGCACCTGGAGGAACCGGAGCACCTGGAGGAAACCGGAGCACCTGGAGGAACCCAGAGCACCTGGAGGAACCGGAGCACCTGGAGGAAACCGGAGCACCTGGAGGAACCGGAGCACCTGGAGGAAACCGGAGCACCTGGAGGAACCCAGAGCACCTGGAGGGAACAGGAGCACCAGGAGGAAACCGAAGCACCAGGAGGAAACCGGAGCACCTGGAGGAAACCGGAGCACCTGGAGGAAACCGGAGCACCTGGAGGGAACAGGAGCACCTGGAGGAAACCGAAGCACCAGGAGGAAACCGGAGCACCTGGAGGAAACCGGAACACCTGGAGGGAACAGGAGCACCTGGAGGAAACCAGAGCACCTGGAGGAACCCAGAGCACCTGGAGGAAACCGGAGCACCTGGAGGAACCCAGAGCACCTGGAGGGAACAGGAGCACCAGGAGGAAACCGAAGCACCAGGAGGAAACCGGAGCACCTGGAGGAACCCAGAGCACCTGGAGGAAACCGGAGCACCTGGAGGAACCGGAGCACCTGGAGGAAACCGGAGCACCTGGAGGAACCGGAGCACCTGGAGGAAACCGGAGCACCTGGAGGAACCGGAGCACCTGGAGGAAACCGGAGCACCTGGAGGAACCCAGAGCACCTGGAGGGAACAGAAGCACCAGGAGGAAACCGAAGCACCAGGAGGAAACCGGAGCACCTGGAGGAAACCGGAGCACCTGGAGGAAACCGGAGCACCTGGAGGGAACAGGAGCACCTGGAGGAAACCGAAGCACCAGGAGGAAACCGGAGCACCTGGAGGAAACCGGAACACCTGGAGGGAACAGGAGCACCTGGAGGAAACCGGAGCACCTGGAGGAACCCAGAGCACCTGGAGGAAACCGGAGCACCTGGAGGAACCGGAGCACCTGGAGGAAACCGGAGCACCTGGAGGAACCGGAGCACCTGGAGGAAACCGGAGCACCTGGAGGAACCGGAGCACCTGGAGGAAACCGGAGCACCTGGAGGAACCCAGAGCACCTGGAGGGAACAGAAGCACCAGGAGGAAACCGAAGCACCAGGAGGAAACCGGAGCACCTGGAGGAAACCGGAGCACCTGGAGGAAACCGGAGCACCTGGAGGGAACAGGAGCACCTGGAGGAAACCGAAGCACCAGGAGGAAACCGGAGCACCTGGAGGAAACCGGAACACCTGGAGGGAACAGGAGCACCTGGAGGAAACCGGAGCACCTGGAGGAACCCAGAGCACCTGGAGGAAACCGGAGCACCTGGAGGAACCCAGAGCACCTGGAGGGAACAGGAGCACCAGGAGGAAACCGAAGCACCAGGAGGAAACCGGAGCACCTGGAGGAACCCAGAGCACCTGGAGGAAACCGGAGCACCTGGAGGAACCCAGAGCACCTGGAGGGAACAGGAGCACCAGGAGGAAACCGAAGCACCAGGAGGAAACCGGAGCACCTGGAGGAAACCGGAGCACCTGGAGGAAACCGGAGCACCTGGAGGAAACAGGAGCACCAGGAGGAAACCGAAGCACCAGGAGGAAACCGGAGCATCTGGAGGAAACCGGAGCACCTGGAGGGAACAGGAGCACCTGGAGGAAACCGGAGCACCTGGAGGAACCCAGAGCACCTGGAGGGAACAGGAGCACCAGGAGGGAACAGGAGCACCTGGAGGAACCCGGAGCACCTGGAGGGAACAGGAGCACCAGGAGGGAACAGGGGCACCAGGAGGAAACCGAAGCACCAGGAGGAAACCGGAGCACCTGGAGGAAACCAGAGCACCTGGAGGAAACCGAAGAACCTGGAGGAAACTGGAGCACCTGGAGGAAACTGAAGCAGCTGGAGGAAAACCGGAACACCGAGAGGAAACCAAAGAACCTGGAGGAAACTGGAGCACCTGGAGGAAACTGAAGCAGCTGGAGGAAAACCGGAACACCGAGAGGATATCGGAGCACCTGGAGAAAACCGGAGCACCTGGAGGAACCGGAGCACCTGGAGGAAACCGGAGCACCTGGAGGAACCCAGAGCACCTGGAGGGAACAGGAGCACCAGGAGGAAACCGAAGCACCAGGAGGAAACCGGAGCACCTGGAGGAAACCGGAGCACCTGGAGGGAACAGGAGCACCTGGAGGAAACCGGAGCACCTGGAGGAACCCAGAGCACCAGGAGGGAACAGGAGCACCAGGAGGGAACAGGAGCACCTGGAGGAAACCGGAGCACCTGGAGGAACCCGGAGCACCTGGAGGGAACAGGAGCACCAGGAGGGAACAGGAGCACCAGGAGGAAACCGAAGCACCAGGAGGAAACCGGAGCACCTGGAGGAAACCGGAGCACCTGGAGGAAACCGAAGAACCTGGAGGAAACTGGAGCACCTGGAGGAAACTGAAGCAGCTGAAGGAAACCTGGAACACCGAGAGGATATCGGAGCACCTGGAAGAAACCAAAGCACCTCTGGGCAACCGGAGCACCTGGAGGAAATCCGAGGGCGGAGAGGATATTGGAGCACCCAGAAGAAACCAAAGCACCTCTGGGAAACCGGAGCACCTGGAGGAAACTGAATCAGCTGGAGGAAACCCGGAACACCGAGAGGATATTGGAGCACCCGGAAGAAACCAAAGCACCTCTGGGAAACCGGAGCACCTGGAGGAAACCAGAAGACCTGGGGGATATGTACGCGTACATGGGGAGAACATGCAAACTCTACATGAAAGGAACCCAGCACCTTCTCGCTGTGAAGTACAGGTTTAAATTGTAAGTAATTGTTGAGATGAAAAAACTGTATATTAATGCTGTGATAGATTTGTGTGAACACTTTCATGGATTCCTCAAACATTTGGACCTTTTGAGTCACTGTCGAAGCTTGGAGCTGAAACCCACCTCTTTACATCAATCTGCATCTCAACTCGTAGTTTGATAATAAAAAAAACTAGGGCCTCAAGAAAATATAAAAATGATCAGTGTTATCAGTGTCCGACATCTTAGAAAAAACAAAAAAGGAAATAACTTGGTTTGAACAAAACATAATACATCCTGCTGCTCATATAAACATCAGAGATCTAAAAAACAGCCTCAGTCCTGGGTCTACAGCCTCAGTCCTGGGTCTACAGCCTCAGTCCTGGATCTACAGCCTCAGTCCTGGGTCTACAGCCTCAGTCCTGGGTCTACAGCCTCAGTCCTGGGTCTACAGCCTCAGTCCTGGGTCTACAGCCTCAGTCCTGGGTCTACAGCCTCAGTCCTGGGTCTACAGCCTCAGTCCTGGGTCTACAGCCTCAGTCCTGGGTCCTGTGTTGTCTGATTCTCTGATCTGTTTTTGGAGAATCAACGACTGCTGTGAGTTTACGCTGATGTGTGAGTATTTGCTTGTTTTGTTTTTAGTTGGATCTTTTTTCACATAAAAATAAGCTTCATACATTTAACTAAGTATTTTTTATTTGTACACACACACACAGACCAAAGTCACCCAAAGCACCTAACTATAATTATTATTACACACAGATCAATAGTTTATTTTTCTACGATAATCACATAATTATGTCATAAATGTATAAATGATATAAATATAAAAATAAATAAACAAAATAAAAATAAGTCTTCTTGTTTGACATATTTGTCTGCAGAAAGAGGAGTGTGTGTGTGGGTTAGTGTGTGTGTGTGTGTGTTTGTATGTGTTAATGTGTGTGTGTGTGTTAGTGTGTGTGTGTGTGTGTGGGTTAGTGTGTGTGTTTGTATGTGTTAATGTGTGTGTGTGTGTGTTTGTATGTGTTAATGTGTGTGTGTGTGTTAGTGTGTGTGTGTGTGTGTGTGTTTGTATGTGTTAATGTGTGTGTGTGTGTTAGTGTGTGTGTGTGTGTGTGTTAGTGTGTGTGTGTGTGTGTTAATGTGTGTGTGTGTGTTAATGTGTGTGTGTGTGTGTGTGTGTGGGTTAGTGTGTGTGTGTGTGTGTTTGTATGTGTTAATGTGTGTGTGTGTGTGTGTGTGTGTGTGTTTGTATGTGTTAATGTGTGTGTGTGTGTTAGTGTGTTTTTGTGTGTGTGTGTTAGTGTGTGTGTGTGTGAGGGAGGAGGGCGATCAGCTGATAGCCGCGGATGATGGAGCAGAACGAGGTCAGAGGTGTCTGCAACGCATTGTCAGCCGGGCCCCTGTGTCTCCCCCGCTCTCCCCCCTCCTCCTCCTCCTGGGCCTCCCCTCCCCCCCCCACACACACACTGACACACGCGCGCACACATCCATCAGAGCGGGCCCTTTGCCGAGTCACCGCTGGCCCCTCGCTCCAGCACCACGGACAGCTCCCGCTCTGCTCTGGGAAGTGGGACTCGGGGAAAAGGAAAGACCGGTCCTGAACCAGAACCGGGCTCACAGATGAACATTTGTGATCTCACATGAACTCTGTCTGTGCACATACGTCCCACAAGCCTGACACTTCAGTCTCTCTGGCACACTTTGATTGTTTTGGAGGATTTCAGCCACGTTTTAGTCTCAGATGAGTAACACCCTCCCACTTCCATACACTTCAAATCTCTCTAAATAATTTCCAACGGTGAATTCCTCCGTCTCAAATGAGTGTTTGGTTCATGTTCTGTAGGCGAGGGCCGTCTCAGGTGTGAGAGAAAATAAACGTGAGTAAAGAGAGACATTTTGGCTCGGTATGTCCCCTTTAAGCACCCACAGAAAACCCTGTCACGTCCACATTTGCATTCTGCTTACACGGGACGACACGCGCCTCCCCCCCACCCCCCTCCCTGCCTCACATCCCCCCCCCCTCCCCTTCCCCCATATCAGCCTTATATTCTGATGATTGTCCCGGGCCCCTCCTCCACACGGCCTCCTGTG